TGTGTGTGTGTGTGTGTGTGTGTGTGTGTGTGTGTGTGTGTGTGTGTGTGTGTGTGTGTGTGTGTGTGGCTCTGAAATAGACCAATGATCTGTTCAGAGTGTCTCTCACCTGATGACTTCTTGAAACAGGCACCAGCTCCCTGTGATTATTTTGTAAAAATAGCCATCAGCTTGATTTGACTTAATATAGCAACAATAAAAAAAACTCTTAGCAACTTCCACAACAAACAAAATTTGGCTCAGTGTTTTTAAATTGACTGAGTTACAGTCATTTCTGTGCTTTTTTATATGTTTGACCATGGTAGCCATCTTTATTCAGCATCTATACCACATTCAGTCGACCTTTCTCATCTCATCTCATCTCATCTCATCTCATCTCATCTCATCTCATCTCATCTCATCTCATCTCATCTCATCTCATCTCAATTGTACAGCTTGTGAGTTAAAATTTGATGTCATTGTGGTTGAGCGTCATCCCAATTCCTTTCCAGAACAATTGTTGTGCAAAAGCTTTGCTCAAACTGTGCTCAAAACCAAACAATGAATCAGACCTCGAAGAAATCAAAAGAACAAACACTACAGAGCAGTCATTACRCACAACAGGGGAAAAAAGAAAACACAATAAGATCATGAAGCTTTTCAAATAATCTTTATTGTCCACAAAGGAAAAGGCATAACAAAGCACCTGTTTAGCACTTGTAGTAAAAAAATAATAAAACGTTATCTCTAACTTGTATCTCGCCCTACTTTTCCACTTCATTTCAAACTCAGGTCCTTTAGCAGAGCTCTGGAGTTTCGGGGTTCTGTTCAGTATCACTGTTTCTACAAGTAACCTCTTCTAGACAGAGATCCCTGAGGTTGTTCTTGGGAACTGTTGAAGTCACTCCTCTAGGTTGGGGGTCACAGCGCCAAGTGCTCCAGTGACTACCTGACTATTGATGCTTTGACTCTCCATAACTTCTTTTTTTCCTTCGTTCAGCTTCTCGTTCTTCTTCTTCCTGGTGTTTCAGTCTCTTATGATCTCTAAATCTATCACTGCTGCCTTCTTCTCTTGTTTGTCGACCACCATGTCCAGCTGGTTAGCATCACCTGTTTGTCAGTCTGGAACAGGATGTTCTATGTATCTTATGGGGTGACTCTCACTTTTACTGTGGGACCTCCAGTCCATATGTTGCGTGAGTTTATAGCCTATAAATAAATTACATATATTTACTATTTGTTTTTTATGTGTAAAAATCCATTACACCAACGAAAGTGCATCCAGTTCTTTACTAGAGTATTTGCCTCTGTGATTGTTTCTAGTGAAGCGTCGATGACCAGAGCTCCTTGTACTGCTTTGTATTGATTTGTTTACATCATTAGACACGTGTGTTCTGTTTTGAGTTGCTGTGTTTCAGATCAGCAGCAGTGCTTTATTTGTGTCTCACTTTTGCTACCTGCGCTAATCACTGTGAAAGAGCAAAATGTGTTTTAGTTGGTGAAAATAGGTCTGCATGTTGTGTCTAACTGGGTGAAATGTACTTAGTATTCTGACAAAAGAGTGGCCATAAATGGGTTCAGGGAACTGAGAATTTGGTTCAAACAACAGGGTTTTAGGGTTTTAGCAACTGAGAAAAACTATAAATGGAGAGAATCAAAATGTTTCTATGTAATGCATTCTCAGCAGGGTAAACAAGGACTTGCTGACATAGCAATGTAACAGCCGGAGTAAAAGGTACCGCCCCCAGGGGTGGGACCAGGTTATGCTATATACACGTAAGCTTTTAGGGATGGGTGAGGGAGGTGATGAGAAGAAGCCACAGGGTGCACTGGGAGACAGTGGCTCTGCGTAATGAAATAGTGCTTTTAAATCTGAGAAATAAAGATTTCTAATAGAGAATTCACTGGTATAGTTGCACAATTATTCTGGCTATCAATTTTTGATCACATTTTTCCTTACCCACTGTTGGAATTGAAAGATTTGATTTCTTCTTTCACAAATTATTATTTGCACACATCATGCTACCATTTTTCTACAAATACCATTGAATTCTTTGAACATCCTGAAGCTCTCTGCTAACAGAGCATTCAGTCAGAAACTTTAGTCAAGGACATATTAAAAGACTGTGATGGAAGAAGAAACAAAAACATGAGTCAGAGCTGCAGTGACCCTGTTGGGTCACCTGTTGAGATTCATATCAGTCACACTTCAGCTAACTCAATTTTCAGCGCACMTTTGCTGACTGTGTTTTGTAAAACAGCTTAATGTGGTAATCAGATGTTAGATATATTTTCTGGTTTTGTGCTCGTCTTTCATCAGCAGGTGGATGACAACACCCTAACCGTTCAGACGCAGACCTGCCTGCCCCTGTTTCATCTTCTCTGGGGAGAGAACAGGGCAAGTCACCACGCAGGCCTCGCTGCAACATTTGCCTCAGATCAGAAAACAGATGTGCTCACCTGCAGCTCGCTGTAAAACAGATGTTACAGCCAAAAAAACT